TCCTGACAGCTTTCATTCGCTTCAAAAACTTTAGTTACTGGCACTTAAAACTCTTTTTTTTCTAAGTCTTTTGCAGAGTGAATCCTGCCTGTGTATTGTAAAAAATAAACAGAAACCTCAATTAAATAGAGTTGGAAGACCAAAAGGGGGAGCTCTCATGCCCTGTGTCCACAGCAGAGCCCAAGAAGAAAGATTCCTCTTCTTTCCTGGCCAGGTCTCAGCCAATGAAAAGCCACGGAGACTGTTTACTCTAGCCCTCCCAACTTCCTTTTCCTCTCTATGAAAGCCTTCTCCTTCCCCTGCCCTGTGGGAACTTGCATGAGCCTTGCCATTGTTGCAGCCTGGAACTGCAATTCTCTGCTAAACTTTGCTGGAGAAATATCTGGCAGTCTATTTGTTTCAAGTCAACAGTGTTTGGTCCAATTCTTGACAGGCAGATCTTAAAAGTTCCTGAAACTAGTGAACATATAGACAAGTCCTATAAGCACCTACATGGAATGACCCTTTGGCCTGTCCTAAATTGAATCAGGTGCCATATCCAGGAGGAAGCTGCAAAAAGCCTAGGAACTCAAGAAGACCAAAAAATGAACTCCCATACTTTAAAAAACAAAAACAAAAAACCCCAGCAACACGTAACATGAACATATTACAAAAATCTTCCCTGTTTCTTCTCTGTGCATCTAATTCCTGCTAATTTCTTACTTACAAGTAAGTTTAAGTCTTGTCACCTTTCCTTCCCTCTTTGACAGTCTTTTTCTACTCATAGCTCAATCATTTTCTTAATCCATTCTCTCACTTCAATCTCTCATTTAGCAAAAAGGCATAATTTTACAAAGTTATTGGATATATATAGAAAACATTTAAATTAAGAGACAAAGCTGATAAAATCAGCTTTATATTTCTTCCCCTCTCAAATTCCAAACCAAAGAACAGAAACACATTGAACTTTTTTCCAGTTATGTGACTCTCAAGCTCTGGATTTTTTCATTACTCTTTTTTTTGGCTGCGCCGCGAGGCTTGCGGGATCTTAATCCCCAGGCCCCGGCAGTGAAAATGCGAGTCCTAACCACTGGACCACCAGGGAATTCCCTGGATTTTTTCATTACTCTTATGGTCAGTGTAGTGCCACTGACCATAAGAGTAATGAAAAAATAAAAAGGAAACAAAAAGAAAAGATAAAAAACACTCATTACCAATTGGTACTACTCTGCAATCCTTTCCCACATTCCTAAATGATACCCTCATCAGTGCTTCTCAAACTGGGATACTTCATCTTGGATATCTGAAGCCATCTAAGCATGGCACAGTTTTTCTGAAGAACGAATTTTAAGTTTGAGGCAGGGCAAGTTATATATATGCTTAAATAACCATGGATGCTCTACAGAGTAAAATGTAAAATTTGAATAAACTGACAGAACTCAAGTCTTCAAAGAGATTCTGCACTTGCCACAGCTGCTTCCAGCCAATCCCCCAGGGAGTTGGTAAGGGGAGATAAAGGAGGATATGCAGTAGGATCAGTTTAAGAACTCTCTTCTCCGTGAGTTTGAGACAGACTGCCCTATATCACTCCCCTCAAGCTTCCTAACCACAGAATCACGCCACCTGTTCTCAGCAGAGACACCTGCTTTACTAAGACAGGGGCCAGCTAAAGTGGCCTCCTGCCACATACTGCTCCTCTCCTTTAAGACAGCTCTGTGTCTTCCTCTCTATCTTCTCTCCCATCCACCCTCCTACCCGTGCTCCCCCTGCAAAAAGCCACCACCACCACCACAAAGAGGCCCTATACCCCTTCAAGAATAACCTCAGAGACTTTTCTTAACAGACTTATCAGTAACTTGCTGTCTTTCCTTCCTTAACCCTTTCCTGTCATCCCTAGGACCACTGCATTATATCACTCAAACCAAACTGCTCTCCAAATTAACACCGAAGATTTACCCGCCCATTTCCCCTCGTTTCGACTAAATTCAATTCCTCTGCAGCGTAACTCCAACTTCTTGAAGTGCTCCCTTCCCTTGCTTGACACTGCGCACTCCTCATCAATTTCCCAATGTCTCCCTCACGTTCTTTTTCTTTGCCTGACCCCTGAACACAGATATTCCCCAAGGTTCCGCCCTTGAGTCTCTCACAGTCTTACCCTAACCCTCTAACATTATCACCTTAACCCTACATTAAATATCATTCTATTAGGATGTAACTTTTATATACAACTCATATTCTCACCAGCCTCTTACACTGCAGATCCAAATTTCCAATTGCTTAATAAAAATCTTTAAATCAAATGCAATCTATTCAAAACAGAACCCTTTAATTCATTCCTCAAACCTGTTATTTTTCCTACATTCTCTATCACAATCCTCCTAATCATTCAGCTGCCTGCAAATTAAATTTTGGTATCTTTAGCACCTACCACGGTAGCAGGAGATCAGCAAATGTGTGCTGAATGACTGAAAGAATCAATTGATAAATCTTGTCATTTATGTCTCCTTAATAGTCCCTACTGGCAATTGCTCTGGTTCAGGCTCTTGATTACCTGCTTAAATTACTTCAACCACCTGTGGTCTCCTTGGCTCACTTTTTATGAAATATTTTAGATGTAAAATGGCTTTCTGTTAATTTACTGAGTTAGCAAAAAGGCGAATCTGTATAATACTTATCATGAGACATTAATGCAAATAATTTTCTTTACAATTTGATTCAGCCAAGTGACCTTTCATCCACTTGCCTCTCAAATTAACACAAGTCCATTTATTATTTACAATAAATGTACTACTTTTGAGAGTGTCTGATTTACGTTAATTATCATATGAGCATATTCCCAAGCTTAACTAGAGTTCCAGTTTGAGTAGTATTCTTAAAATCAGGGCTGACTCACGCATAGATCTAAGAGCAGGTAAGTCGCTCTTCATGCAGCTGACTTGAATTTGCCTTTCTTCCCATTATTCCTGTTTAGACATATACTCCTATCGTAGTTATGAAGAGTCTACATGTTTACAATATTAATATGCTTCTCTTCATTAAAAACATCATATAATGCTGATATTGTCCCATCTTCCATTTGATCAACCAAGACATATAGATAACCTGTTACTCAAATTAAGTAAATATGTAGCCATATCTCGCACCTGACATTCAAATAAATTTCATATGAATCAAAAATTTATAAAACCACAAAAATGTAGAAGAAATGAAAAATCTATTTTTTTATAATCCATAGTGGGGAAGACCTTATTAAGATATACACAAAAGTCAGAGGCTATTACTTTATAAAGGAGAAAATCTAACCACTTACATGTTAACTGAATTTAACAAATTGAGTATTTCTGTATATCAAAAACCACCAGAAGGGCTTCGCTGGAGGTGCGGTGGTTAAGAATCCACCTGCCAATGCAGGGGACACGGGTTCGAGCCCTGGTCCAAATGCCACGGAACAACTAAGCCCATGTGCCACAACTACTGTGCCTGCGCTCTAGAGCCCATGAGCCACAACTACTGAGCCCACGCTCTAGAGCCCATGAGCCACAACTACTGAGCCCACGTGCTGCAACTACTGAAGCCCGCACACCTAGAGCCCATGCTCCTCAACAAGAGAAGCCACTGCAGTGAGAAGCCCATGCACCACAACAGGGAGAAGCTCACGCACCACCGCAGTGAGAAGCCGGCTCACCGCAACTAGAGAAAGGCCGCACATAGCAATGAAGATCCAATGCAGCCAAAAAATTAAAAAAAAAAAAAAAAAAAAAAAGCCCCATACAGTTATTTACTGATAACAATATATATTGGAGAGCTGTTTTTAAGTAAGAAAAAAGCAAAGTAAAACAAGTGAACATAGCAATGTATAAAACATGCTCCCTTTCCATGTTTAAAAAAATGGGGGTGGGGGGGACTTCTCTGGTGGTCCAGTGGTTAAGAATCCATCTTGCAATGCAGGGGACACCGCTCGATCCCTGGTCAAGGAACTAAGATCCCACATACCAAGGGGCAACTGAGCCCGTCCGCTGCAACTACTGAGCCCATGCGCCACAACTACAGAGCCCATACGCTCTGGAGCCTGTGTGCCACAACTAGAGAGAAGCCCACGTGCCACAACTAGAGAGAGAAGCCCGCACGCTGCAATGAAAGATCCCGTGTGCCACAACTAAGACCCGATGCAGCCGAAAAATAAATAAATAAATATTTTTTTAGAAAGGGGGGAGGGAGAAATGAATTTGTTTGTGTGTTAATATATACATTAATGGTGCTACATGTTACTAGAAGGATACACAAGTAACTCAGAAACTGCTATTAGTTGCCTCAGAGGAGGAGACCGGGGTGGTTGGCAGGCAGGAGGGAAGAGACTTTTCACTATATAAGCTTTTGTTCCTGTTGAATTTTGTGCTATATGAATGTCTTACCTATTCAAATATGTTAAATGAATTATTTTGATTAATTCAATCAAAAGGACTTAGAACATTAGCAAGGACATTTTTCTTACAAGAAGATTTGGATAATTAACTTCTAAAATGTCACAACTAAAATAATTAACACACACAAAAATTCACAAAAGAAAAAGCTCAAAAATAACCAAGATATGCAAGTTATCTACACAAGTAAATATTCTAATTTACACTAATATTACCTCAAGACTGAAAAATCCATCTTGCAAAAGCCTTCAGAAATTATAAAGTGACACAAAGAAAGAAAAGAAAAAGAAAATCGCTAACTCTATATGACAGTGATTTCCAAAGGAATCTTCTTGGGCATTCTGCCAAGAAAGTAAAAGACACCGCTCACTGCTTCAGAGCAGTTTATCTTTTATCTGCTCAATATACTGGACTCCCTTATTATTTTTTATTTAAACAAAGGCTTTACAGTGAAAAGTCTGAAGACTGCTACTACAGGACATCATTTAAAAAATAATCTTTTGCTTTCCAGAATCATATATTTTCAAGAATTATAGTTCTTAGGCAAAAAGCTAATTAGAGCTAGTTGTTGTTTATTATAAAAGTTTGCATAATGCTTACCTGAAAACTCGCCCATAATTCCCATGTACTTTATATACACCATACAGTCGGTCTGCTACTCTCTGGAATAAACAGTCGAAAGAAATTGCTATGAAGTCAAAGTTACATAAAGATTACTTAAAAAAAAGATTTTATCCTCATTTAAAATACATATATATATATATGTATATATATATATACATGCTTAGCACAATAACCTTGAAAAATATGGAAAAGAAGCTTAAATCTCCCAAAGTTTCATCATGGGAGATAATTGTATTTTTTTAATTAACGTTTTAAAATTTCCTATACCAAGAGTGCTAATATTTTTAACCAGCAGTTTATTATTACTTTTATTTTATAAATTTATTTATTTATTTATTATTTATGGCTGTGTTGGGTCTTTGTTGCTGCACGTGGGCTTTCTCTAGTTGTGGCGAGCAGGGGCTACTCTTTGCTGTGGTGCACGGGTTTCTCATTGCGGTGGCTTCTCTTGTTGTACAGCATGGGCTCTAGGCACGTGTGCTTCATTAGTTGCAGCACCCGGGTTCTAGGGCACGTAGGCTCAGTAGTTATGGCTCGCGGGTTCTACAGCGCAGCCTCAGTAGTTGTGGTGCACAGGCTTAGTTGCTCATGCGGGATCTTCCCAGACCAGGGTTTGAACCTGTGTCCCCTGAATTGGCAGGAGGATTCTTAACCCCTGCACCACCAGGGAAGTTCCCAGGCAATATACCTCTGTGCTACTTTATCAAGTTAATGCCTTCTAACCAACTAACATTAGATATTTCAGTAACAGTAGAATTACAATTTAGGTCACTGAGATAAAATATGTACTGCCTAGAGACTTCCCTCGTGATCCAGTGGTAAAGAATCTGCCTTCCAATGAAGGGGACGTGGGTTCTATCCCTGGTTGGGAAACTAAGATCCCATGTGCCGTGGGGCAACTAAGCCCACGCGCCACAACTACTGAGCCCAAGTGCCTCAACTAGAGAGCCTGCATGCCGCAAACTACAGAGCCCACGCACCACAACTAGAGAAAGAAAAAAAAAAAACCCACGCACCACAACTAGAGAGAAGCCCACGTGCCACAACAATGAGCCCAAGTGCTGCAACTAAGACCCGACGCAGCCAAACATTAAAATAAATGAAATAAATATTTTTAAAAACTACAAAAACAAAATAATGTACTGCCTAGCCATTCATACAAATTTTACAAAAGACAAAACAAAACACCATATGCAGTAATCTCCTTTACTTTCCCCCAAAGTATTATGGACATGAACTAGAAGATCAAAAGTCAATCCCACATAAAACCCTAAAAAAGAATTCCTAGTATATAATTTCCAAATGTAAACCCTGAATTTACATTCAACCCCTCTAGTTCCTTACTCAAACATGAGTAATTTGAGGAATTAGGCATTAACCATACAATAATTCTTAAACCTTTCAATACTTCAGCTTAAACTGAATGAACCACATTGTAAAAACCTGGAGCAGGCGTAGGAGGATCATAAAATGTTTTCCATCTCTCCTTGACCTGCTAGACTAGAGGGCAGCACACTACAGGTCCGCAGCTTGTTTTTGTAGTCTTACTGGAACACAGTCATACTCACTCATATTAGCACTGTCTATGGCTGCTTTCATAGCAGGGTTGAATAGCTTCAACAGGGACCATATGACCCAAACAGCTGAAAATATTTACTATCTGGCCTTCAGAAAAAGTTTGCCGACCCCTGTACTAGACTCCAATTTCAGGACAAAGTTCATAGTCTTTACTATGCTTGAAACTTTCCAGGGCTGTCCATAGACCTCTAAACTAATTTCTCTGGGATGTTATTTCCCAATTATTTTTTGAGAGCCCTACAGAGTGTCAAAGGTTGGTTGGTTGTTTAAAGTGGTTCCATTGTCAAGTAAGTTTGGGAAATACTGAGATTAAAATGTTTAACAGGTTTTTTTTCTGCAGGACTTTTTTGAACTTTAACACTATATACGAATCAGGACTATTGAGAGAGAGTTGGTTTGCAGTAGGGAACATGTTACAGGAATGGCATTCCAAAGAATATAAAATGGAAAATGTCACTCTAGAGTACTCGTACTTTTTTTTTTTTTTTTTTGCGGTATGCGGGCCTCTCACTATTGTGGCCTCTCCCATTGCAGAGCACAGGCTCCGGACGCACAGGCTCAGCGGCCATGGCTCACAGGCCCAGCCACTCCGTGGCATGTGGGATCTTCCCGGACCGGGGCACGAACCCGCGTCCCCTGCATCAGCAGGCGGACTCTCAACCACTGCGCCACCAGGGAAGCCCCGTACCTTTTTTTTTTGGCCGCACTGCATGGCATGCAGGATCTTAGTTCCCCAAACAGGGAGCGAACCCCGCCCCCTGCAGTGGAAATGCGGAGTCTTAACCACTGGACCGCCAGGGAAATCCCTAGATCCTCATACTTTTAAAGATCAAACGTTCTCCTGACAGCTGAGCATTTTATCATCTACCTACGATATTAAGTATAGAAGAGAGGGAAAGAACTTGTTAAATAACCACATAAGAATAAAAACTAGAACAACTTAAATACAAAATGCATACACAAAATAAATGTTCAAAGAAAGTTTCTGAATCGCCGGTATTTAAGTGGTTTTTTTTTTCTTTAAATTTTATCACTCCTGGCAGCTGATACAAAAGGAACTTTTACCATGATAATTAGAGCTCTGGAAAATACTTTGGTCCATAGAACATGACAAAAAGAGGCAAGAGTTCTCATACTCCAGAAAGGTGAGCAACCACACAAGGAACTATTCTATTGGTGAATGAGGCAACAAAGAGCCACTCAGCAGTTGTTACTGGACCAGCAATGTTTCTGGCATGAACTACTCATGGAAACAAATTGTTCTAGCCAACCGAGACATGAGATGATTAGTATCTAGATCATCAGGCAGTGAGAGAAAAGATGAAGTGAGGAAAAATTATAAACTATAGACCAAAAAATATCATTTCTAGAGAAAAGTAAAGACAAAAATGGCAGGTAAATAAATCATGAATTATTAAAACCTGAAACCAGATTAATTCAGTGGTCATTGGTAAGCAAGAATCATGGTGCCAGGTAAAGGGGGCTATACACAATGATTTAGTCTACACTGCCACTCAATTTCAATTCTGTTGACAAGCCTTTTTGAAAAGTGATCATCTGACAACTGACAGGGGAGGACTGACACCTAGCAAATAATATGACAACAGAAGAAATTTGACAGACTCATCTTATCATCCTCCCCAGTTCTGAATCATTTGCAACTATGGTAAGAATGTCTTCTCTATCCTCACTGAAGCAGTAGGGGATTAAATGTTAAAAAGGACACAAAGTCTTATGACAGTCTATTAGATAATCTTATTTGAAAAATCTGGACACATAGCTTTTCTTTTGAATTATCTCCTAAGGAGGCAATGATTATGAGATTTAGGACTCCTGATACTACTGCCAAATTCTTTCCCAAAGGAACTGTATGTAATACTTTACACAATGCCACTGTCACCAAATATTTCACAAACACTAGATATTACCATCTTTATATATGACTACAAATTAAATGTTAAATAGTGCCTCAATAATTTCAATTTACATTTTTTGAGTATTAGCAAAGTTAAACACTCCTCCCTCCCTTTTAAATTTGATTTCCCCTAGAGAGGCAGCAAATATGGTTGTAGGAAGTAAGGGATTTGGAGTAAGACAAATGTGAATTCAAATTCCAGCCCCTGGGACTTCCCTGGTGGTCCCGTGGTTAAGAATATGCCTTCCAATGCAGGGGACGTGGGTTCAATCCCAGGTCAGGGAACTAAGATCCCACATGCCAAGGGACCACACATAGAAAGAAGCCCATGAGCCACAACAAAGAGCCGGCATGCCACAACAAAAGATTCCACGTGCCGCAACGAAGACCAGTGCTGCAACTAAGACCCAGTGCAGCCAAAATAAATAAATAAATATTAAAAAAAAAAAAGATCCAGCTCCTTCTTACTTTAGGGTTTGACTTTTGAGAATTTATTAAACTACTCTTAGCCTTAGTATTATATCATTCTCTTGGAAATGTGGAAATGAACCTCATCATATGACTGAGGATTAAAGAAGATGACATTTGTAAGGTACCTGGCAATAAGCAAGGTGGCTCAATGAAAATCAATTCTCTTCTCCCTCAATCTACCTGAATTCACGTCCTCTGTCAATATACCATTTGTAGGTGGTTAAGAGCATGGGTTCTGGAGTCAGACAAAGGTTTGAATTCTGGCTTCATCATATCTATTTATAGTATAATATGAGGCAAGTTACTTAATTCATTTGCCTCTGCTTCCTAATCTATAAAATGGGGACAGTTACAGCACCTACCTTCAAAGGGCTACTATCGGAATTAGTTAAGAATAACACAATATGTTTGGCTGATATACAACAGTAAATAAATATTAGATTAGCATTATTTTCCTTTTGTCTTCGTTTACGAAACATAGATTATCTCATCTGAGTCTCACAACTCTATGAATAACACACTCATTCATATAACAAATATTTATGTAGTACCTACTATGTGCCAGGCAGATATTCCCATTTTCCAGCAAAGAAAACAAACTCTGAAAGGTTAGTGGATTTGCCTGAAGGACCTGGTAAATGCCAGAGACAAGTTCTAAATCCAGCTCCTCTCAGTCTAAGGCCACCTGCCCTTTCTGGTTGTTCTGTTTTGACGTCTTAAATATTAACTCTTTAACCTGTTAGTCATTTATTTTTTGCCTTTTCCACTTTCAAAAGAATTCTCCTTGTCAGAAAAGATAGCCAAATAATTCTATTTTCTCTTCGTCTGTTAACAATTCATCATCTGTATCAAACAGTGTCTAAGCCTTCTTCTCCTGACACTCTGAATGCTACAAAAAAGTCCTCACTGTGGTGATTTCTGTGTTGCTCGCAGGCTTCTGTCAGTGTTGGGCTATAACCTTCCATTTTTAACTGTTATGTCACTGTCTATGACTAAACAGCCTTTCTCCTAATTTTAGAACAATCAAGATTTTAGCTATTCTGTATTTTCCATTGGCATTTATCTCATTTATACAGTCAGAATTTCAATTTCACTCACAGAACAAGTGCTGCCTTTCCTTTGAAGAGCTCAAGCTGTCTTTTATGTCAATTAAGTTTCTGAAGCCTGTTTTCATAAAGTTAAGGGTAAATATATCAATACCCAGAATTCTCTTACTTGTGTATTGTAAGCTCTCTGATGACAAGGTCATTTTTCTTTAAAGGTCATATTTCTTGTCAAATATACATTACTAACCAGTTCTCCCTGGCTGGTTATAATTAAATTCAAGAAGTAATTTATGTTACTGCTTTTTAAGATTTTTTAAACATAAAACTGTCAGCACGTACATCCATTTATTCATCCATTCAGTGAATATGTAGTGGGTGCCTACTCTGAGTCAGGCATTATTCTAGGGATTTGACAGTGAGAAAACAAACTCCTGCTCTTGGGAGCTCACATACACTAGTAGAGGAGACAATTAACAAATGAGTACAGAATACAATGTCAGTGTTGCTATAAAGACAACAGTGATGACAGAAAATGACAGGCCGCTGAGCCTGCGCGTCCGGAGCCTGTGCTCCGCAACGGGAGAGGCCACAACAGTGAGAGGCCCGTGTACCACAAAAAAGAAAAAAACAAAAAACAAAAACCTTGAAAGAATAGGATATTATATGTAGATCTAAAATCCCACACTTAATTATATTCCAACAGTGAAATGGTAGGCCCTTCGATAAGATGTCAAAACAACCATATACAGACTACAGAGAAAACTATAGGCTAAAATTCTTCAAGTTATTTACACCAGAAAACATTTCACGTTTTTTAAAAAAATGCAATTTAGGTGATGAACACACCAAATTTGAATATAAAAATCAGTTATTCATCATAAATATCTTCCATTACTTAAAAACATAACGATTAAATGAGAAGCACTTCCTTTTTTTTTTTTTTTTTTTTTTGTGGTACGTGGGCCTCTCACCACTGTGGCATCTCCCGCCGCGGAGCACAGGCTCCGGACGCGCAGGCCCAGCGGCCATGGCTCACGGGTCCAGCCGCTCCGCGGCACGTGGGATCTTCCCAGACTGGGGCACGAACCCGTGTCCCCTGCATCGGTAGGCGGACTCTCAACCACTGTGCCACCAGGGAAGCCCAAGCAATTCCTTTTTAATGTCTGTCAAAAAGCTCTTGGGGACCACTTACAGCTCTGACTCGAAGAAGATGTGAGATGACAGACTGTAGTTCATCACTGTAGTGTTTTAGTTCTGTAAATCTCCTGAAACAGGAAACAAAACATCATTTTTCTCATGAAAAGTCAAAAACTGAAAGACAAAATAGCAGTTCCTGAGAATAATAAAACTGATTCTATTTAACTATTTGCTAGCCTTAAACATTTACACACCGATGCAAACTCAGAAAGTTCTAAAACAAAATAACCATATTTTCTCTAGATATTTTTAAAGCCAAGAAAAGACTTTATAATTTACACTGTGGAACTGAGATAGACATAATATTTGTTAGTTTGAAAACAAAAAAACAGGAAAAAATTTATGGTGCTAAGAAAATCTTATGGTGCAACCATAAACTCATTGTCTCTAACAATCTTCATGCTGCTCAGTAATCTTTGTTTCTATAATCTGATGTCTGCCGTTCTCCATAAGACCTGAAACTTCTATTACCACTGTTCTTCCAGCAATGTAACACCTGACCTCACCCTCCTCAAAAATTTGTTTCCCTGACATCAGTGTTAATTTCTCATGATTTTCCTTTTACTCTCTGGTCATTCCTAAAGTCTCCTTTGCAGGACTCACTCCCTTCACTCATCTCTTATACCGCCAACTTTAGTGTGCAAAGGACTCCTGAAGTGTTTGCTAAGAGCACTACTGAGGGCCTCTCAGTAAAAGAGGGCATGAGTAACCACCACAACTGTACACAGGAATAAATTCAGGAATCTGAATTTATAACAAACGCATTCACAGGATTCAGATGCTGGCAATCCTCAGATTACACTTTGGAAAACGCCCTTCAAGCACTGGCTTCTTTAGGATTCAGCCCTAGGTCCTCAACCATTTTACAACCAATCTTGCAATCTACACACTCTGTGTGACTTATTCACAAAGCTTCACAATTATGATCTACATGCTGCTGAACTCCAAATATGTAACTCCAGCCCAAATCTCTCCTAAAAGCCATATCTGTGAAGCCAACTAACTAGCAGACATTTGTACCTGTTTACATATCCAAAGCTCAACTTATCTTCCCCTATCCCATCAAATCTCTCTCCTCTATTCCCTAGCAGTTTAAACAATGAAACCTAGGTGCCACCTGTATTTCCTTCTCCTCTCTTTCATCCCATACATTCTACCACTCACTCAGTCTACCTCCTAAATATTAGCCAAGTATTGCCACAAAAAGTAGAGACTCAAGGTCCTCCTCCTCACTGCTTTTAACAGTCTAGTTTGAACAAAAATAAACATGCATGAAGAGGTATCTTTGAAACCTCTGAAACAATCTTTCTGGTTTTCTACATTTTAAGAAAGAATGGAATTAAAGTATTTTAGTGATATAAACTATTTCAGTAATGGTATGAATAATAATTAGTCTATTGGGTCAGACAGACCTAGAACAGGGATTCTGTATATTAAAAATCTGTTACAACAATGACTGATATAGATAATTCTCTTATCTAAAACTTAAGGCAAACAAATTCTATTACAAATTATACATTAATTATATACTTGAACAAGAACTTAGGAGCAAAAAATTACCTTGTTTATGTTATTGGTCATATCACATTTAAAATTCTATATATAATGTAGAATATTAAACAAAATTTAGCAATCTAGAAAAGCTGGTAGGTCAGAAAAGGGAAGACAAACATTCAGTTGACAAAATATTTTTCATTAAATTAAAAAACATTCAACTGACAAAACAATAATATTAAATATTAATTTAAAAACTGTCTCATCTACATGCTCCTCTAATGAATGTACATTCACCAATGTCATAAACTTTGCTGCTTAGGTTTTCCAAAGCTTTTTTGGAGGGTGACATAATTTAGTTCTTAACCTAGAGAACATCTCATATACCATGGATGTCATTATAGCCCTTATAAAAACTGCAGTGGAACCTTAAATGCATATTACAAAGCAAAAGCCTTTCTGAGAATGCTCCGTATTGTATGATACAACATTCTGGAAAAGGCAAAACTATGGGAACAGTAAAAAGATCAGTGGTTGCCAGGGCTATGGGGAGGGAAGGATAAATAGGCAGAGGAAAGAGGATTTTTAGGGCAGTGAAAATACTTTTTATGATACTGTAATGACACATACATGTCATTATACATTAGTCAAAACCCATAGAACATATAACACCAAGAGTAAACCCTAATGTAAACTATGGACTTCGAGAGGGTAACAATGAGTCAATGTAGGTTCGTCAATCATAACAAATGTACCACTTTGGTAAGGGATAATGGGGGCGGCTCTGTATCTCTAGGGGCAGCTGTGTAAGTGTAGGGGCAGAGGGTACCTGGGAGCTCTGTACTTTCCACTTAATTTTGCTAGGAACCTAAAACTACTCTAAGAAATAAAGTCTATTAAAAAAATAAAATAAAAACCTCAATGGTTACCATCACTATTTCTTAATTACCAAACTTTAAAATATTTATTTATATTTTATATTCAAAATGTATAATAAAAACCAGAGGCACAATGTTAATGTGTTATGGTTTATAAAGTCCAGCACAATAGGCTATCAGACTATGCAAACTTGGCCTTTGTCTGCTAAGAATTTACACTATGTAGAAGTTAACGCTGAAGGCCTGACTAGAGAAATTCTAACAGACCTCATAAACTTGGTCACCAAATATGGAAAAGCCTCATCTACCTAAGCACATTTCTACCTGGAAAGTATAGCTGAAGCAAGCTTCAGGTAAAGGTCCATATAATGAAGAGCCTGAATTATCCACCAAATTCAGAGAATGAACAAAACCAAATGTTAAATACCTAGATCCCACCCTAAGGAAAGTTATTTCTGAATACACCAGTTTTCTTTAATACAGAAATGCTCTCACAAACACCAAAGTGACACTGATGAAGTCAGGTAACTGTCATATAAATACATCTCCACGAAATTATTATACTAGTATGCAACTATCAAGTTTTTTTGCTATTCAAAGTAGATAGTTTATTATTAAAATAAATAATATATTATCTTGAGTTTTGTACATATCTGACAAGCAAAGTCTAATAAGAAAAACTATTTTATATGAAATTAAAATTATTTTTCTCATTTTTCTGATACCTTAAGCAACACTCAATAAATCCTTCTAGGAAAAAGCAGTGGTTTAATTTTCTAAAACTTCAGTTACTTACAACCTTAATCCCAATTAAATTACCAAATTTCAAAATCAGTTTTAGACTGTAAAAGGATTTCACTAACGTGAATTACTATTTAAAATATTTAGCAAATAAAGTGCATACATTCAGAAATGAAAAATTAAATAGATTGATAGGCACCATTCAAAACAACATCGTAACTGTTATTAAAACAAAACCTTACTTGTCTGGGTTTTTCACTCTGAATGTTGCATTAAGCGCTTTTAACCTGGAGTCTGCCTGGAAAAAATAATTTATTCACTTAATACAATTACATTTCAGGGTTTAAATCCAAACAGTTTTATTTTCCCTTTAGAATTAAGATGCTCAAGTACAGTTTTCTTCGTATCATTTGTGTCAAACACATTAAACATACCCCAAAAAACAGCTTAGTAGTTATTTTTTAAAACACTACAAAAATATTTATAAATTAAACTGAACACATGGCATTCAGTAATACCAAAGTAAAACAACTGTAAACACCAATACACTAGCAACCATATACCTCTGCATTATTATAACAAAATAGGTCTCATGTGAAAAAAGTAGTTTACTTTTTCTCTAAATCAAGAAAAACAATGATCTATATATATAAACTAAATAAAACTACTGCTTTGAAGCCTGTGCATTACTGAGAGTCGTTCTCAGATGGAATGTAAACCAAATGTACATTGGTTTTTCTCATTTTCATAATCAGTATTTTAGAAAATAAAGAAATATGGAAATGCCTGTACTAAATTAAAACTAGCTAGATGAGGACTTCCCTGGTGGTACAGGTTTGATCCCTGGTCAGGGAACTAAGATCCCACATACTTGAGGTGCGGCCAAAAAAAACCAAGCTAGATGACATCAAATTAATTCCTTTCTAGCTGGCAGGAAATGTTACAACTTTTTAACTACCTTTACTTATTTCTAGATATTTCAACACAACTATTTAACTACCTTTACTTATTTCTACCCTAACTTATTTCAAAGGAGAGACAGAAGGATCAACATGAAATAATAATTTCATTGTATAAATTTATACTTAATATAGCCAAATCCTCTCCTCTTATCATATGTTCTCATTAAAATAAAAAAATTATAAATAAATAAATATATATATATATATATTTTTTTTCTGACCAAGGCACAAAAATGATACGGTTCATAAAAGGTAGCTCAATCAGTAATCAATTTCATGATGTGGTTTGGTTTTGAAAATCCCAATCAGCTTGAATATTTTATATTATTCCAACTTATAAGCCCTAATTACAAATACTCCCAAAATAATAAACAAACAAAAGCAAAACTACTAGGGCTCCCCAGATTACATGGCTGAAGAAATAAAAACAAATGCAACAAATACACCACTCCATAAACCCAGCCTCCTAAACCTTCAGACCAAAAGCAATTCAAACAGCTATCAAGAATATCTAAAGCTTAATTTGTCATTGAATTCAGGGGATTCTCTTATTTCTAAAATGGGTATTTTATCAATTCTTGACCTTTCTTACATCTCAAGGGCAAAGGAGCTAATGCATGTGAAAGTCCTTACAATTAAAGCAACTATGAATTTAAGGCATATAATATTACTCCCTTATGTTCTTTAAGTGAATTCAAATCACTAAACATCAACGTGTTAATGACTTTATAGTCACATGCAAATGAGATTCTTTAAATAAGGATGAAATTACATAAAAACCATCAGTAAAAAAGAAAATTTTCATGTGTATCTTTTTCTGAATCTCATACTTAATACTACCAATTAATTTATTTTTTACTTTTAATATTACCATCTTACCACTATAGAAGGCATATAAAATGTAAACCATCACCATCCTAACCTTTGCTTACCAAGCATTCTGTCAGGTCAGTCCATCATAACACCCCACTCAACCTGCTCATCATTTCACAAGATTCCATAATAAGAGAAATTGCTTAAAATGTCATCAAATCAGAAACTTCTCCCCAAAGCTAGATCTCTAAACACCTACCTAAGCTGTTCCAAATCTGACGGTTACCATTCATCCATCTTATCAGGTTCCTCACTAAATATCTAAAGAAGCCCTTATATAATTGTTTCATACCACCCTACTTTATCTCCTTTAATACAGCACTATCTGAAATCCGCTGAGTTGTTTTCTTGTTTCCTAGCTGTCCACTAGAATATAAGAGCCACAAGAAAAGCACAATGTGAATGGGGCTCCTAGAGTTGCACAATGGCTGCCACGGCAATACTTTAATCTTCTTTGTTCATTCCTGTAACCCCAATGCCTCCCAATGCCTGGCACAAGAAAAACATGCGATAAGTATTGGCTGAATGAAAAAAATAACCCCGACTATTCTACAGCCCCAACTTAACTTCCTTTCCCATGTTCTTTAATCCCCACCTCTCCTTCCCTTTCCAATTACTATTACATACTTTACTTTCCTTGTCCTAGACCTTGTCTTTCCTTTATTTCATTTTCAGGTTCTTCCCCCAAACCTTGCCTAGTAAACCATTACCAGCTTGCCCTCTCTCTAACATTCTTCCTTTACCCGCTAGGTTGACTCCACTGCAGGTTCCTCACTATTCAGGTCTCAGCTCAAATGTTCTCTCTTCAACCATGTGATGCAGTTTGCCCAGGACAGTCCTGGCTTACACCTGTTGTCCCTAATCTAATTATTAGCAGACCCCCTTTTTATTCTCAAAAGTGTCCCCATTTGAACAATAAATTTTATTGTCACCTATCTCAAAATAACCCCTAGAAAAAAATCCCTGCTGTCATAATCTCTCACAGTAATGTTTCACTTTATATCACCTATAACTTTCAAAGTATCTTAAATAAATGTTAACTTAAAGTCTCCAACTACTTACAATACAAACTCCATAAGAACATGGGGATAATGAATGTTTCCAGCGTATTTGCTGTTGTATCCACAGCACCTAGAAGGGTACCTGACAGTCTGTAGGCACCCAGCATTTGGAATCTCCAGGATTAGCAGAGATCCTAAAGGCCCAGATCTCTCTGGCAGTCCCTGCTCCAAGCAACAGACAGGGTTCTGGATTCTTCTGAGTCAGCCTAAAATCATTTAAGGTTTGGGCATACGGATGACACTTACTTTCATGTAAGTAACTTACTGAGAGAATTGAGTTAAAATGATATTACTTTAAACTAAAGTATTGGGTGGAGGACTTCCCTGGTGGCACAGTGATTAAGAATCCGCCTGCCAATGCAGGAGACATGGGTTCGAGCCCTGGTCTGGGAAGATCCCACGTGCCACAGAGCAACTAAGCCTGTGTGCCACAACTACTGAGCCTGTGCTCTAGAGCCCGACGAGCGACAACTACTGAGCCCGCGAGCCACAACTACTGAAGCCTGCATGCCTAGAGCCCATTCTGTGCAACAAAGAGAAGCCACCACAATGAGAAGCCCTCACACTGCAACGAAGAGTAGCCCCTGCTTGCCGCAATTAGAGAAAGCCTGCGCACAGCAAGACCCAACACAGCCAAAAATAAAATTAATTTTTTTAAAAAGAGGGAACTGAAAACAGACAAATACCATATGATTTTTTAAAATAATAAATAAATAATAAAGTACTGGGTGGGCCAAAAGTTTTCTTCGGTCTTTTCCGTAAGATGGCTCTAGTAGCACTTAGCTGTCTTTAACTTCATTCGAAACAATTTTGTTAGACTGTATGTGACGGCTGTCATATCAGCAAGCATTTAAAAAAAGACTTAACAAAATTGGTGAATTTTTGTGTAGCAATTTTAATACTGAAGATGGAAGAAAAAAAGCATTTTCGGCATATTATGCTTTATTATTTCAAGAAAGGTAAAAACGCAACTGAAACGCACAGAAAGTTTTGTGCAGTGTATGGAGAAGGTGCTGTGACTAATCGAACATGTCAAAAGTGGTTTGTGAAGTTGTGTGCTGGAGATTTCTTGCTGGACAGTGCTCCACGGTCGGGCAGACCAGTTCAAGTAGACAGCAATCAAATTGAAACGATAATTGACAACAATCAACATCATACCACCGTGAAGTCACTTTCTCGAGTTCCTCATCTAAAAAACTGGAATAATATTAAACTAACCTCAAAGGTACTGAGGCAACTGTCAGCAAAAAAACATGACCGTGTATTAGAGTACAGTGCTTAAGCACATAGTAAACATTTAATGTTAATGATATTCAGATAAGATACTGCTTTAGGTTCTAACTTTTTTTTTCTTTTTTTTTTTTTTTTTTACCAATTTTGATAATCTTCTAAAATTATCTTCCCTAAAAATATTCTTATCTGTCATCTTACAGCAATGGTTCTTAAGTTTTAGGCTCGTGGGAATCATATGTCTGGAATGAACTCTAGGATTCAGTATTTTGAACAAACAATCCCAGCAAATTGAGACTCATGAAGCCAACTGACCACATTTTAAGAAACACTGAATTAAAAAAAATTTTTTTTAATCAAAAAACTAGTTCCACGCTAAAAAAAAGAAGAAAGAAACACTGAATTATGAGTACTCAGCCAGCAATTCAACCTTTTCTTGAAGCCTCAAGGTAACCACTATAAACAACTAATACTGAATCCACCTGTGACACAGTGAAGCCCTAGGGGTTACATAGGTGTGTGGGGATTTGGCCCCATGCCAGAGGCCTCCATACTGCAGTGTCTGACTCTCAGATCACTGTTATCCTTTACTAGCAGGCTCAGCGGTCAATTTCACTATCGTAACAGTGTGCCTGTCTCCGGCAGTATTCACTTTTAGACCTCTTAAATTTTCTTCTAATATACTGTAGCCTAGAAAACAGATAGCCAAGTTTATTTGAATAACTATAATAAAATTAAGTGGGGGGCTTCCCTGGTGGCGCAGTGGTTGAGAGTCCGCCTGCCGATGCAGGGGACACGGGTTCGTGCCCCGGTCTGGGAGGATCCCGCATGCAGTGGAGCAGCTGGGCCCGTGAGCCATGGCCGCTGAGCCTGCGCGTCTGGAGCCTGTGCTCCGCAGTGGGAGAGGCCACAGCAGTGAGAGGCCCGTGTTCGGCATAAAAAAAAAAAAAAAAAAAAAAAAAATTAAGTGGGTACTATCTGAAAGGACCAAAGTATATCTGTAAGTACTATAGTAAGTTATGTTACATCCATTTGAACATCTCAGAAGTCAGTTCTAAATACCCCCTTTCAACTGTGATTGGGTTAGTTGTAACTGCCAAATACATGACCTCCAGATAAGTGAAGTGTGTGTCTTTCTCTCTCTATCTCTCGGACACCCTCACATACGTTTGTATGTATGCATGCACGTATGGGTGTGTATGTGTAGTCCTAAAAGGTCCCATTTCACTTCCCTGGTGCCGCAGTGGTTAAGACTCCATGCTCCCAATGCAGGGGCCACAAGTTTATTCCCTGGTCAGGGAACTAGATCCCACATGCATGCCACAACTAACAGTTCACATGACACAACTAAGGGGCCGGCGAGCCACAACTGAGGAGCCCGTGAGACACAACTAAGGAGCCCACGGGCCACAACTAAGGAGCCCATGTGCCACAACTAAGACCCAGCACAACCAAATAAATAAATAAATATTTTTTTAAAAAACCCTGCTTCTTTAAAAATAAGTCCCAATTCCTTGCATGGGTCTCCGAATTCTCCCCATACATTTTATGTCTGGTTCATTTCATTTAAATTCTGACTTTTCAAATTATTGTGTACAGAGTATTACCTTTCAAAGATTTTATGAAAGTGAAACTAAGATTTCACCGTAAGGCTACCCAAATACAAAACATTGTATCTAAACACTTAAATAGCACCTACACACAAGATTCAAAGCACTCTGTAAAGAGCATAGTCTATATGGATGGAGAAATTTAGGAGTTTTCTCAAGGCCACCCAAGTTATGGCCAAAAACTGAGTTAAGGACAAACAACTGATAACTAGTTACTAAACTAATGACTAAATCAATGACGAAAATTTTTAAAATTTTCTTTTTATATAAAGAGATATCACTAAAAAATATATATTTTAGTTTGCTCTTTTCTTTATTACTGGCTCCTAAGAAATCTTGGACTAGTTCTCAGAAAATTCTATCAAAATATAAATAATTTTTTAAAGTTTAGAGTTATTTCAAACCATCTCTAAACCAAAATTCCAGCATTCTCTCTGAGCACCATAATGAATTATAGCCAAGAAAATACTAATTTTTTCATGTTATCTGCCAACAATATATTTATAAGTTAAAATTGGTTTATGACAGAATTAGATACTTGATTATATTTTTTGTGCAGACAAAAAATTTTCTCTTGTCTTTTTATGTTAAAATTAAAATACCTATATACCAATGCATAAATCTCTAGGGGGTGTTCTTAAAATTACTGTAAAGACATTTTGTTCTTGTTGCCTAGACCTACTGAATTTTGTTACTGCATTATCATGTGAATTGTTTATCAATTTATATATTATATCAATTTATATTACTTTTTCTTCTTACCTATTCAGTTTACACAAGAGATGAAAACTTTAAAAAATTTGCAAGCATCAGTGTTAAATTACTTTTGGGAACAAGAGGGAGAGCAGACTGGAGTTAGAGTGGCCATCTTATGACCAACATGCTCTTTAATTTTTAGATAACAGTTCCATTCCCAGACACTAATTCTAATGAACGAATATGAAAAGCTGTCAAAATCTAATTAGGCCTGTATTACTAACAGATGCTAATACAAAATGAATCCTATGCCCACTCAAAACTGGCCATGTCCCAGTAGACAGAAGAAGCATGACTGATGGTTCATCTTCTAGTCTGCTAAGACTGGAAAACCCAAGATCAATTCTTCAGAAATGTCTTTCCTATTTAATAGAGTGAGCAATTTTGGGGGCACCACCGATAGTGGCAGTGATAAGGACAGAGGGAAGAAAAAAATATACAATGTATAACATGACTAAACTGTGGGAAAAATCTATAGCCTGTATCTAAATTACTGCTTCAAAATCTTCTTTCCCAATAGAATTAAACTCATAAATATGCCCATTATAGTCTCACTATTAACAAAAATTACACCAATCAAAAATACACTGCATTGTTTCTTTAAAAACTTTACCAATGATATTAGATGCAAGGCCAATTTCCAACATTCGCTCATTCAATAAACAGCAAGTACCCATTAAGTGCATGGCACTAGGAACTGTAAAGGAATGTAACAAATTATTTCAGGCAATTATCCTTACCTTCAGCTGAAATCCGGTTTCATTCACAGTCTCCTTCCAGTTACCTTCCTAAAAATTAAAGTTAATTTTAGATATCATAGCAAAATAGCCCGTAAGGAATATTCCAAATTAAATATCTATCGTTCTTTTCTTCTTTCAGGGGAGATGGGAGAGAAAGGTTAAAAAAGAATTCCTTTCACTGCAAAATTAAACATACAATCCAGATTCCAAAAGATTACCAAAGATGGACTCAAGATTTTATAGACCTGGGCTTCAAAAAACTAAAGGCTAATTCTGATACCATTTAAGTGATACCAAAAAGTACCATCTTTAGTATCTTTAAGTATAAAAACATTAGCCAAAAGAATGATGTAGTTTACTTTGGAAATTCAAAACGGAACAAACCACGAAATGCATATAAATTAACAAAGCTGCTCCAAAAGGATCCTTAAGAATAAGCATTCCACAATTTAAAAGATCCCAAGTCAAATGAATTTTTTTAGAAGACTAAATAAAAGAAAAATACCTGTGTTAAAAACAAATAGAAGATTTTGTCTCTACAAAGGATGGGATGTGAAGCAACTCTCAAGAGGAAGTTTTCTAAACCAATTCGACGTCTTTCCACAAAATCCGGGTCCATGTTGTCAGCAGAGAGTTTATGCCAAACAAATTCTGCCTAGATAAACAAAACAACCATGAAGAATAGTCTCAATGCTAAATACTTCTGAACTATACTGCCATTTCACTTCTTACCCTTTTTTCTGGTAAAGGTGGCACAACAATATGCGGATAGTAAACTAAAAGGTAGTTTCTCAACAACTCAAATTCACTATACCGCCTCCATAGTGAGTCTGTTAGGACACTCTGACCATCAATATGTTCAACTGACCTGAAAAAGACAGAATAAGATTTCTAGTGTTTTTTAAAAATACAAATGCATGCACACGACCTCCTTTAAAACTGATAACTCCCTTTACTGAATGAACCAGACACTGAGTAGAGAATTTTTCATGTATTATTTAATCCCTACAACAAACCTGGTGAAGCAGGGATTACTGTCCCCATTTCACAGATGAGGAAGCAGCTGCACAGTATATGCTCTTCCTACAATCACAAAGATCTGTGGGTAGAGCACTCAGATCCATCTGATTCCCAAGCTTTCACTCCTAACCACTTTCTTCTATTATAGAAAACCTATTTGAACTCAAGAGAAATAGTCATATTAGGAACATTCTAAAAGCCTCAATATAAAATAATTTGGTTAATGTATAACAGCTGGCTTTCTAATATAGTAAAGTCTGGCTTAGCCAGTGTTTCATTAAAGAAAAAGTATTTTTCACTGCCACAATGAGAACAACTCCTGCCACAATGAGGGAATAATATTCATGTCAAAGACGATGACACCAAAAAAACCCTCGATTCAATGTTATAAATGAATCAGATGCATCCAAGTACCTGAAAAAACCCACAAAAGCAAAATGTCAGTTAACTCTGAAACAGTGGGGAGAAGGGATGTAAAAATCCAATTCTAGTCTTATCTTTAATATAAAGAGCTGCAGGCAACGCCATGTCTCATCCATATAAAAGTTCAAGTTGGGGGAAAGCTGGGTAAAATCATATAAAGAATATTTGAAATTATTTTGACTATTTACAATTTCTGCTAGCATAATCACTGTTAGAAAACATTTGTCTTCTAAACATTATCAGAACCTTCCCATTTTCTAATTGTTTGCTTGAAAATAACTTATAGGCCCTCCAAGAAACACGCATATAACCAAAGTGTGCATCTGTACATTATGGCATAAAGGCACAGAGGCTAAATCAGTCTTAGAATAAAGTAAAGTCTTGAGAAGATATATATACTGTGTCATGCTCAACACAAGCATTTTAATAATAAATAAATAAAATTATTTATTATAATTAAAAAATAATTTTTATATTAAGTTTGCCACTAAATTTATTCATTGCATTATATATTAGAAAAGGAAACATAATAGAAAGGAAACAGAAAAGGAAGCATAATATGAAATTCAAAATGTACAAATGGCTCCCATGGCAAAGATATAGGATTATTAAATCATAATTCATTTTAAAGAGTTGACCTAACCATTAGCTATGACTAATACTATTCTAATTCAGATTTTCAACTTCAGCTGAAAAAATATCTTAGGTTAATATCAAGTTTCAAATTATTTAAAATCATGACCAACAGAACCCACATCTTGCTAATAAGCAAATAAATATAGCCTATAAGCAGTACACCTAAAGGCTGTTAGAAGATCTTTTACAAGTTGATTTTGTTTTTTGTTTTGTTTTAAAGGCCACAAAAGGCAGGGTCTAACAACTGGAAACCACCTAAAAGCATAGGGAAGACTTTCTTTGGACCACAAAACTACCCCATTTATCCAATCATTTAACAAATACTTAATAGCACATAATTGGTTTTACATGCAACATTTAATTTAACCCTCACAATAAAGTAGATAGGATCATCAGCCCTGCTTTACAAATTAGAGGAATTAAGTGAAGACATCATATAGCCTCCCAAGACAACAAGGAATTCTTACCTATTACTATGTACAGTATACTTTATTTTAAAAGGGTTCATACTCTATGAACAGGAAAGCATAAAAACCTTTGGAGAAATTAAAATCAATGACTTTAGCTTCATTCATTCTTAGCCTATTAAACTGTAACACTATAGGCAATTGCTAAATGGACTTTCTACTTGTGTCCAAAGAGTAGGTAGATAAGCTATATGTTAAAGTTCAACTTTTAGTCAATATCAAGGCTCAATAATACTCATATTGTCCAAGACTATCTGAATAATACTGAATTACAGCAAGAATCCTACATGATTAAATTAATAAATTCCAGGGTTCTGTGGTTGTTGAAGGAAAGTTAGCCTTAGGGGTACAGTACTTTCAAAATAATCTATCTAAAAGCAGTGTTTCTCAAAGTGGATATGTACATGATGTGGGGTAGGCAAGAATTTAAGAGAGGGAAAACACAAATCATAAAAGAAAAAAGACAGATAAATTTAACTATCTTAAAATGTAAAGACTTTATACTTGATAAAACTATGGTCCATGGTCCATCTGCTTCAAAAACACCTGGAATTTTGCTTAAAATGTGTCAATTCCTGGACCCCACTCAAAACTCTGCAGTTTAACAAAATTTCCAAGTGATTCCTATACATTTTAAAGTTTGAGAATCACTGTTTTAAAATAAATGAAATACAATTGTGAAAGTCAACTCAATGATCCTTTTGTGCACCACACATTTACTGATGATCCACTTAAATATTTATCCAGAGTCTAGTTATATTACTCGTGTATGGTCACTTCTAACTCCAAGTTTCAAATTATAATACTCTATTCATTTCAGTCAAGAGTAAACTATAAATCATTCCAGATTATTCAAATCAAGTCTCTTCCAGCAGTAAAACTAGTCAACAGCTAATTTCATTGTTCAATTGGGTGAAGAAATAGGCACATACTAAAAATGTCTTTTTTTGGCGAGCCACAACTAAGAAGCCCATGAGCCGCAACTAAGGAGCCTGCTTCCCGCAACTAAGGAGCCTGTCTGCCGCAACTAAGAGACCCGGGGCAACCAAATAAATAAATAAAATAGAATAAAATAAAAATATCCCTTACAGTTTTAAATTTAAGAATTTACTTAGAAAGCTAGAGCCACGAATTTCTAAAGTATGATTTATTTATTTATTTATTTAGGCTGCACTGGGTCTTAGTTGTGGCATGCAGGCTCTTTAGTTGCGGCATGCAGAATCTTTAGTTGTGGCATGCAAACTCTTAGTTGCAGCATAACTGTGGGATCTAGGTCTCTGACCAGGGATCAAACCTGGGCCCCCTGCATTGGGAGCTCAGAAGCCACTAGACCACCAGGGCAGTCCCCTAAAGTATGATTTTTTAAAGTGGCTAATTTAACTTAAAAAAAAAAACTCTCTCATGGGACCATAATTTTTTTTAATTACCTTAAAAAATCTCTCTGATACATACATGTATATATGCATGCCCCAAAACAACCTATTTTTTAAAAGACCCACCTTAGCTCTTTTCCCCAAATTCCTATCGTACACAAATTTTCTCTTCTTTTTGGAAGATTCTTTTTTTCTTTTCTTGTTTTGTTTTCTTTGCTTGTTGTGTGTGTATGTATGTGTGTGTGTAAGAAGGAAGACTATAGTTAAAGAAAGGATTATTAGAATTATTTGTAAACTAAATAACCTTCACCATGATTTTAACTTTCATTTTGGGTAGAACCACAGACCTGGAGAAAACCCTGAAAATGGCACAGGGTTCAGCCCTAAGGCTAGTTTGGTGACGGTGTGGTAAAGCCAATGAAAATGACTAAAAAAAACTTTTAATGTATTCATATTAAAACATGGTTGTAACACTTTATCAACTAGGTCTGGTAGTTCTATTGTTTTATTTTAGAAGTTATCAGAAAGTTCTCTCATATCTACTTGTTTTATTTATTTATTTATTTATTTATTTTTTCTGCTGTGCCACACAGCATGCAGGATCTTAGTTCCCTGACCAGGGTTCAAACCCACGTCTCCTGCACCAGAAGCAGGGAGTCTTAACCACTGGACTGCCAGGGAAGTCCCTCTACTTGTTTTATTTATTTATTTAAATAGATTTATTTATTTATTTAATTTTGGCTGTGTTGGGTCTTCATTGCTGCACACAGGCTTTCTTTAGTTGAGGCGAGCGGGGGCTACTCTTCATCGCGGTGCACAGGCTTCTCATTGTGGTGGCTTCTCTTTGTTGTGGAGCACGAGCTCCAGGCATGCGGGCTTTGGGAGTTGTGGCACACAGGCTCAGTAGTTGTGGCTCACAGGCTCTAGAGCACAGGCTCAGTAGTTATGGCACATGGGTCCAGCCGCTCCGTGGCGTGTGGGATCTTCCCGAACCAGGGCTCGAACCCATGTCTCCTGCACCGGCAGGTGGATTCTTAACCACTGCACCACCAGGCAAGACCCCCCTCTACTTGCTTTAATTGAAAGTATTTCTGCTCAGTCCACAGAGAGAAAAGGCCTTGTCAGTATAGTCTTTACATAAACTGTTTATAATTGGCAAAATAAATTGAGTCTTCCCTTGCTTTGCTCTAGACAAAACAATCTAATTCCTTTAACTTCTTCCTTATGAGGTAAGACTTTTCTGGTGAGTTGTGATTACACCATGAGCTACTTTATCTTCTTCCTTTTTTTTTTTTCCAATTACACCATGATTTATTTTATCTTTTCAATTTTACCCCAAGGTCTAAAGCTCCAGTCTCAATCAATTTTTAACTGACTTTAACTTCTCGCCAAAAAAAAAAAAAAAGATTAAAAATGGGGAATTCCTTGGGAGTCCAGTGGTTAGGACTCCATGCTTCCACTGCAGGGGTCATGGGTTCCATCCCTGGTCAGGGAACTAAGGTCCTGCATGCTACACAGCTGGCAGGGGCAAAGGGGGGATTTTAATTTCTCTGTAACTCCCAACTCTCCTAAACTGACTTAGACTGTATTCTCTCCTCCTAGACTTCTTTGTTAACCATCTCCACTTAAGTCCGCTTAATACTTCATACACCTCTGAGAACCTGGTATCTTTTCCCCAAATCACAAAAGGGTTGTATCTAACAACAAGAACTCCACTAAAGCATGTGTCAAGTAACATTCCAGATCCCAAAAGTATTCCAATAACCTTCCCTCTCCCTCCAAAACAAGTACATTAGAACTTAGCTACTAAGAGTACCAGAGTAAAAGACACACCTGTTAACCTGTTAAAAACAGCAAAAATCCCTAAAAAGACAATGACCTGTAAACAATTCCATTATACAACAGAATTTGCATCAATAGCTACCAAAGCTTTTTCTATCTAAACCTAGGCCTAATTCTCATCACTCACCTTGTTTCAATGAGGTAAGCAGTATATGTTTCTTGCATGTTCATGGCATTCCTCCCAGTTCGCTTTTCTGCTTCTGAAACACTAATTTCTATCTTCTTCAACCAAAAATTATTTTCCATCATCTGAATAAAAACAATGGAAGAACAACAAAAAAACCTTTAAAATTATATTGAAAACACCCTAGCTATTTTAATAAAATCCATTATTAGTACATATTTTGGGCTACTTTTTTATATCTCTTAAGTTGCTAGGGGTTGCTAAATGATATCAGCAAATGCCATGCCTCTTTTTATCAGCATATTGTAGCACATTAAACTTTTCCAGAAGCTATTTTAACAAGTGCCATATTAATTATTAAAATGTAGGCAAGATTATAAGAAAAAAAATTAAGATAAAATGTAGACATTTCACACAGTAACCAAGAATAAACCTACATAGAAATACACATGAAAAAAATCTAAAAACACTATACACAAAGACAAATGATGCTCAATACTGATATCTAATCTTTTTTAAATATTTATTTATTTATTTGGCTGCGTCGGGTCTTCATTGAGCCATGTGGGATCTTTTGTTGAGGTGCTCATTGTGGCGTGCGGGCCCTTCCTTGAGGTGCATGGGCTCTTCCTTGCGATGCACAGGCTTCTCTCTAGTTTTGCTCTCTCGTTGTCGCGTGGGCTCCAGAGCACGTGGGCTCTGTAGTTTGCAGCATGCAGGCTAAGTTGAGGCGCGCAAGCTCAGCAATTGTGGCGCACAGGCTTAGTTGCCCTGCGTCCCCGGTACTGGAAGGCAGACTCTTTACCACTGGACCACCAGGGAAGTCCCTGATATCTCATCTTTTTATTTTACCAAAGTCAAATCTCTATCTCAAATATAAAATACTACATATATGGCAAAATGTGAGATTTTTAGCAGGCAGGTTAAAAAAAAAAGCAGGAGTCGTCACATATTTAACCATAAATTTGCCTAAACTTTTTTTTTTTTTAATTTATTTTTGGCTGTATTGGGTCTTCATTGCTGCGTGCAGGCTTTCTCTAGTTGCAGCGAGCAGGCGCTACTCTTCGTTGCAGTGCGCAGGCTTCTCACTGAGGTGGCTTCTCTTTGTTGCAGAGCATGGGCTCTAGGTGCGCGGGCTTCAGCAGTTGTAGCATACAGGCTCAGCAGTTGTGGCTCACAGACTCTAGACCGCAGGCTCAGTAGTTGGGGCGCACAGGCTTAGTTGCTCCATGGCATGTGGGAGCTTCCTGGACCAGGGCTCGAACCCGTGTCCCCTGCATTGGCAGGTGGATTCTTAACCACTGCACCACCAGGGAAGTCCCTGCCTAAACTTCTTGGCAGTGATTAACAGGCTCCACTGTGAGAAAGCAGGTTTTCCTATTCTTTTCTTAAATATTGCTTTTATTTATTTATTCATTTTTTTATTGAAGTATAGTTGATTCACAAACTTGTTTTAGTTTCTGGTGTACAGCAAAGTGATTCAGTTATATATATATTCTTTTTCATACTCTTTTCCACTATGGTTTATTAGAGAATAATGAATACAGTTCCCTGTGCTATATACAGTAGGACCTTGTTTATCTGAGACAGCAGGTTTTAAGAACAGGAGACTTCTTTCTTTTCTGCTAGATCATCCCAAGGTCTGTATCAAAGCACCGAAGAAAATGACAAAGACATCACAGGTGGTTCACAGGCTCTTTCTGTAGGAAGTGTGCCACTGAAGAAGGGTCTTGAATATATCCAAAGTAACTCCAAATTAAACAAGAAAGACACAGTGAGACCATGCGATAACTGCTATGCTTTGGTTTTTTTTCTCCCTTGCTCACTTTTAAAGTTCAGTTGGTTTTCATTAAAAACTCTGTACTATATTATAACTGGAGTTAGTCTGTGAAGAAGAGATATAAGTAAAAAGATGGATACACCAAAAGTTTAAAGAAAAAGATGCATGCAGTAAAACCCATGATGATACTCTATACAGAAAATTAAACCTGTGTACTATGAAGAGAAAATAAGCTATGTGACAGTACACAAAATTAAATCAGTGATGAATAAAGATGACACACTTAGGACGTACCGCCAAAAATGTTAAAGAAAAATGGAGGAGGTAAAAATGCTAAAATTAGGACAGAGAAGAGCCAACCCAAAACAGAACAAAAACGAAAACAAAAACCACTCTGCTGTCAAACAAGACACTTTTATAAAATATAAGTTTTATGTTTATGTACTAAAAGAGAAAATAAGACAGGAGAAAATCATTCAATTAAAAGAAAGCTCAAAAAATTACATAAGCACAAACCACTCAACGTCAGGGTTATGAAGCCCTCACTGGTTGAGATTATACATATAAAAAATTTGGGCCCACAGCCAAGCACTGATTTACCATCACGTACTCCAGTGAAAAATTCTCTGAATTCTGGAAGCACATAACTGATAAAGCAAATTATTTCCCAGCCAAAAATATAATGCATGTGAGTCATAAATTTACCCCATTATGCCATCCAATTACACAGAAGGAAAAAATAAAAGAATAAAATCAACTATCATAAAAACTAAAGACTGGCATACAAAAATACCAGCACGGTTTGGGAGATGATATAAAATTGCTTATCCTGTCATACTAAAGTACAAACAATGCCAAGAATAACACAACTAATACCATAATTGTTAAAAGGACACATTCAAAATATTGAGAAATGGATAAACTTGGTAACTGGAAGATGGGACCGGGAGTGTGTTTTAAAGAGAGACATAATATATTATTTTTTTTAATTGAAGTATAGTTGATTTATAATGTGTGCTAGTGAGACATGACATTTTAGATGTATTAAAAGTGGACTTCTCATTAAAGAACATCACTAAAGAGTGATGCTACACTCATATCCTACACTTACATTCAAAGGAATAACATCCCAAATGTAGATGCTTGATATGTGAATCACTACTTTCTACCTAACTTAAGACCAAATAAATATAGAAGATGGACATATTTAAAAGGCTGATGAAATTCTTTATTTTCAATTCAGTGAGTAAAAATGAATATAATCTATTTTAGGTTTTAAAAATGTTGCAAACAGTGAAACAGTACAAGCAAGCATAAAACAGATAACAGTGATAAAAGGAACAATAAGAAATTATTAATTCAGTATCTGAATATTTACTGAGTATCTATCAATACAATGACAGTCCTTAGGAATGGGAAGATAACTGAGAAAAGGTGCCTGAGTTCAGTGGTTCACTGCTTGCCTGAGGAATTCTCACAATCTAGTAGCTAATGTTCATCTGTGGCGTCCTTTAGGATTAAAGACAAAATGAAGACAAATGACAACCTTAATATAACAACTTTCAGGACTGTAGATGAAAACAGTTGGTGTATCTATAGCACTCATTTAGTTAATCTTCTTTAAATCACACAAGAAAGAAAATCTATCACATTCACTGTTATACTACAAATTATGGGGAAAAGATAAAATTAAAACAGTCCAAAAAACAGGCAGATGGAGATGAGCATGGAGCTAACTCAGAAGAATAAGAATGCAAAGAAAGAAAAATAAATAGCAAAAAATAAAATAGAATTCTAGGCTGTAAAACTGACACTGCAAAAAAATCAAAACAGTAAGATGGTAAGCTCTCCCAAAATGGTAATGAAGAAAAGACCCACAAAAAGTGAAAATGATGAAAGATGATTTTAAAAAAAGGAAAACTAAGAACGAATGCTTAAATAATAGAAGTTCTTGAAGAAGAAATCAGAAGAAACAGAACAGAGATAATAATCTGTATAACTAAAAAGGAAACCAACAAAAATCCTTTCTGGATTGAAAAAATTTTTTCTACAGCTCCAAACTGAAAGGCATGTGGTCCACATATAATGATTTAGAAAATTAAATATCTTCAGCATACAGAAAAATATCCTAGATCATTCCAATAGATGCAGAAAAAGCTGTCAACAAAATTCAATACCCACTTATGATAAAAACCCTCCAGAAAGTAGGCAGAGAGGGAACCTCCCTCAACATAATAAAGGCCATATATGACAAACCCACAGCAAACATCGTTCTCAATGGTGAAAAACTGAAAGCATTTCCTCTAAGATCAGGAAAAAGACAAGGTTGCCCACTCTCACCACTATTATTCAACATAGTTTTGGAAGTTTTAGCCACAGCAATCAGAGAAGAAAAAGAAATAAAAGGAATCCAAATCGGAAAAGAAGAAGTAAAACTGTCACTGTTTGCAGATGACAGGATACCATACATAGAGAATCCTAAAGATGCTACCAGAAAACTACTAGAGCTAATCAATGAATCTGGTAAAGTAGCAGGATACAAAATTAATGCACAGAAATCTCTCGCATTCCTATACACTAATGATGAAAAATCTGAAAGAGAAATTAAGGAAACACTCCCATTTATCACTGCAACAAAAAGAATAAAATACCTAGGAATAAAACTACCTAAGGAGACAAAAGACCTGTATGCAGAAAATGATAAGACACTGATGAAAGAAATTAAAGATGACACAAACAGATGGAGAGATATACCATGTTCTTGGATTGGAAGAATCAATATTGTGAAAATGACTATACTACCCAAAGCAATCTACAGATTCAATGCAACCCCTATCAAACTACCAATGGCATTTTTCACAGAACTAAAATAAAAAAATTTCACAATTTGTATGGAAACACAAAAGACCCCAAATAGCCAAAGCAATCTTGAGAAAGAAAAACAGAGCTGGAGGAATCAGGCTCCCAGACTTCAGACTATACTACAAAACTACAGTAATCGAGACAGTATGGTACTGGCAGAAAAACAGAAATGTAGATCAATGGAACAAGATAGAAAGCCCAGAGATAAACCCACGCACATATGGTCACTTTATTTTTCATAAAGGAGGCAAGAATATACAATGGAGAAAAGACAGCCTCTTCAGTAAGTGGTGCTGGGAAAACTGGACAGCTACATGTAAAAGAATGAAATTAGAACACTCCCTAACACCATACACAAAAATAAACTTCAAATGGATTAAAGACCTAAATATAAGGCCAGACACTATAAAACTCTTAGAGGAAAACATAGGCAGAACACTCTGACATAAATCACAGCAAGATACTTTTTGACCCACCTCCTAG